GATGACGAAGAAAGATCCCGGAATGATAATTTAGAATTTGAGGACGGGGAAGAAGGCCGGCTGGTGAAAAAGAGGCGGCATACACATGAGGACGATGAAGAGGCTGATGGTGAAGGTCAGTTCCGTGCTCAAAGTCGTGCTGATGATAGTTTTACTTTGGGGCTTCAAAACAGCATGCCTAGTTCTGTTCAGGGACCCAGAGAGCGACGATCGGAAACGGATGCTCATAGTGGAGCTAATAAGGAGGATGCGGACAGAAATGAAGAAGCTGTGGATGGAAGGCGAAAGCTACGCAAGAAGAGTGATGTAGACACGGAAAGAGGTGTATGTGGCGGTAACAGCAATGTGACCTTGGAGCCATTAGCATCCACCACTGCGGCTGTAGCCCAGTGTGTCGATAGCCTTGGCCCTAGAGAACCAGTTCCAGAAGAGGTCAGCATGTTCCGATCTATGTTGTTTCAACTGCAGCAGCAACAAATGATGCAGGTAAGTGGAAGAGAGCAATACGTAACTCTAAACTATGCTAGTTTGAAAACCAAGTTACATGCATTTTAATTATAATGTTACTTTATTTTATACATTTGCCATTGAAATTTAGGGAACCACTAAAGATATGGAACTAACGTTGAATGCATTGGAAAACAAATTTCTACGAAAATTATCTAAAAAGTCGTCCTTTTATGGGATGCAATGTTTCGTTATTTGAAGCCTCACCCTGGCTTTTGCTGGGGCCCTGAATATAGCCGGGCTATAAATATGGCCTAACGGCTGAAAGGGTGTCTGGGAACCTCTCCGTGGGTGATCCTCATCTGCATTGTGGCACTTTGTGTCACAAGGTGTTTATCGCTTGTATGATATTCTGGTGGGGTACAACGAGAGAGAGAGAGAGAGAGAGAGAGAGAGAGAGAGAGAGAGAGAGAGAAGAGAGAGAGAGAGAGAGAGAGAGAGAGAGAGAGAGAGAGAGAGAGAGAGAGAGAGAGAGGGAGGGACAGAGAGAGTACAGAAATTGATGAACTTTAAATGTGATAAAAAGCTAAGAAATAAGAGACTTATTAGGACAGCCGAGTGTTTAAACTAGTCGTTGTCTCAGGGCATAGTGTCTGCTACGTGTGCTAGAGGTTCCGGGTTCAGTCCCTGGTAAGGGCGGCGATTTTTTTCACGTGGACATGGACTTCTAGTAATTCTCCCTGGAAATCGGACGCCCGTGTGCATTGTTGCGCACGTAACAAATCTCTTAGCAGTTGGAAATGAAAAAGAGTAGCCTAACGGCACTGCCCGGGCAAAATTTGGAGTTAAAAATATACCTAAAGTATTTCAGGATCCTCGCCGGTGCCGCAGAGATTGTGCCCTTTGCTGATCATCTTCAAGAACGGAGCACTTATGGGTTACTACCAGTGTGCTATGATGTTCATCCATTGTTCAAAACCTCAAACTATCCACAGAATATAGATACAAAGTTGACTTCCATCTGATGGAGTTATGTAGACAGATGGTACACAGACAGAAACTAAACTTTTATCATCATTCTCCTCTTGGTGTAGGCAAATGGTATAAGTTATACAGAATGTATACAACATTTCGACTTCCGTATTCATTTCTGTCCAGGTAGATAGGTTTGGATTATGTTTAGGTTTAGACGACGCATCAACATTGTGGCCCAAGGGTAGTAACCCATAAGTGCTCCGTTCTACTTTTAACTCAAGCCTTTGTCCGAAGTATATCAGCGCAGTGCACGAACTCTGTAGCACCGCCGTGGATCCTGAAACACTTTGGGTAGTTTTTAAACTCTAAATTTTGTCGGGGCAGCGCCATTAGGCTACTCTTTTCAGATTTCCAACTGCCAAGGGATTTTTCTCACGTGCGCAGCAACACACGGGCGTCCGATCTAACTATGCAGAGACCAGGGAAAATACTAGAAGTCGACGTGAAAAAAAAATCCCAGCTCTCACCTGGGCTTGAACCCCGGACCTCCAGCACTCGAAGTGGAGACCACGCAGCTCTCCGCTCTAGGTAGATAGATCTACCGCAGCGTATAGACACGGTTGACTTCCATCAGATGAGATGAGTTAGAGGGACATAACATAGATAAAAACTGACCTGCCCCGGCCTCTGGGACTAGGCGAACAGACAGCAGTAGATAGGCAGGGCACAGACACACAATTCACTGCCATTACATTGAATTGGATATATAGTCGTAACTCAGACACAAACGAAACTTTTATTATCATCTGGGATTGGGGAATTTGATAAATGTTATCAGTTTTCAAATATTTTAAGCTTCTTTTACAATCTTGTGACTGTTTTTAAATAGACCCTGGAAAGGCTTTTTTTTTTTTTAACCTAGTCACAACACCATCTCTATTGATGTAGTTGCTTGTGCATTTCTTCCACGAAGTTAGGATTTATCTTCTCCTCCTAACCCCCCCCCCCACCCCCCGCCCTTCCCCCCACCTCCACCCCCACCCTTACACCCTCCTCCAACTCAATTATGGCTCCAGTTCCATGATTATATCAGAAGTGGGATATGCCTAATATTCTTCATCAATAAATGGTGGAATATTGTTAGCATTCTTCATCAATAAATGGTGAAATATGCCTAGCCTTCTTCATCAATAAATAGTGGAATATGCCTACCATTCTTCAATAAAAAATTGGTGGAATATGCCTAACATTCTTCAACAATAAATGGTGGAATATGCCTACCATTCTTCAATAAAAATTGGTGGAATATGCCTAACATTCTTCATCAATAAATGAAAAAGACACAACTAGCAAAACTAACAGCTATATAGTTGTTATATTTCACTTCATTACGGTCTGGCCGACACTGAAAACTCAGGGAAAATGTGTAGGGGAATGAATAGCAGACAGACTGGCCGGTTCTGCATCACTTGGTTGTGAACTGATGTATGACAAGCTAGATAGAGTGTACCCTCTGTGAGCCAGCGAACAGTACGGAAGCGCAAATAGATCATTACGGTATGTGGAGAATGGCGCTGCGAGGAGTTACCAGAGTATCTGGCCGACGCTCAACACTCAAGAAAAAGGCGAGACAGATATACAATCAGACAGTTACTGGTGTCGTCGGTATTGGAACTCATCTCTTGCTGCTGGAGATGCGGACGGAGCGCTTATGGGAGTGAACCGAGTGCTATGATGTAGATTTTTAATTCAACATTCAGAATTGTGTCACATCACTGGCAATCATGTCTGTCTACTGACTGACACTTTACCCCACCAGGACATCACACTGAGTGATAAACAGCCGGTGAGAGGTCCCATAAACCCCGTTCAACCATTAGATTATATTAGGGCTCCCGGCGACAACCTGGGTGGGGTGTCAAAAAACAGAAAAAATTATATCTCGCAATGGTCAGGGATGGTGTCTGCTGTTTTCTAATCTCTTTTATTCCATATGCTATGCTATCTTTCTTTCCTTCTTTTATTTTTTTTCCTCGCTATCTTATTGATGTACGTCTCCAATTGATTTATGTATTCATTCGTTTATTTATCTTTGCTATTTTAGCTCTTGTTTCGGGGCTTCTCTTGTCGATAGATGGCTCGTTTCTTTTTCTGTTTCTCCTTATTGTCAGATTGTTTTATTCGTTATATGTCTCCCCCCCCCCCCGGCCTCCTTCTTTTTCTGTCTTCACAGTCTCTTCTCTATGTATGTGTCTTTTTTTCCTTTCTCTTTCCTTCTATTTTCTGTACATCAGTCTTCCCTTTTCTCTCCATTTCTTCAGCTAGCTGCCACTCTTTCTGTCTCTCTTTTTCTTGTAATCGGTGTCTCTTTCTATTCCCTATGCCAATCCCTCATGCCATTCTTCCGTCTATTTCTCACTTTATCTTTTCAACTGTTTCTCACTCACTCTGTCATGTCCCACTCTATCCAATATCCTCATACGTCTATTCATTCACACCTTCATTCTCCCTCATTGTCGTCGGTCTCACATTATCTCGTATCTCTTGTTTTTACATTCTCTAATGTCTTGCATCCGGTGTCGTGTTGACCACATCTCACATCGCATGGCGATTGGTTTATAAAATGTAAATCTAGCTCTATATACGCGTAAGCGTCCGTGGCTTAGGCGTTGCAAACGCGCTGCGTAATGTCGTTGTTCCGGTTAAAGCCCACCTGCGGTTGGTTTGTCTTGCGTTGAGTTCGTCAGTGGTACCGAGAGTTGACTGTTCAGAGGCAGTGGCAAACTGAAGTTAGTTTCGTATCCTTTACAGAACGTTGCTGAACTAACCCTAGCATTTGTTGGCTGTTGTGGTGTTTCTAAGCGTAGTTTGCCATTGCCCGTAAACGGTTAGCTCTAGGTGCCACTGTCGGAACCAGCGCAAGACAAACCGTCCGCAGCTGGGGACGGACCCGGCACCCCGGCATTACGAAGCGGGTTCACAACGCTTAAGCCACAGACGCCGACAAGTAGCAAACTACTGAACGTAAAACTTGCTCAGAAAAACCACAACTGCCAAAATATGCTGGGTTTGGTTCTGCAACGTCCTGTAAAGGATTTGCAACTAACTATTTATCCTTGATATTTAGGTTGATAGCATTGACACATGTCCTTTCCTCATTTTTATTTGGTGGGGGAGGGGGGGGGGGTTCTTTAATAATATCCTACCCAGAACAGGTCAAATGACAGTCTAACATTTCAGAGGATGGTAAAGCTGGGTTTTCCGGCTTTCTGGTGCTTTTAACGACACCAAACATCTAAAATTGGCCCCAACCCCAACTAACCTACGTCCCACGGGAGACCGCAGGCTAGGGACCACAACTGCATGCACCCTAGGTCCTACGACTGCACGCAGCCTATCTACCACCCCCTGAAATATTAGACTGCCCCGTGACCTGTGGATTTCCCCTCTTTGGGGTAGGATGTTAATAAAGCACCCTTTTTTTTCTTGTTTTGTGTCTTGTCTTATTTGTCCACTTCACTGCTAACCTGTATTCTTGCCTTCCCTCTGCCATATAACCCGCCGCCCAACAGATACAGATGATTCAACAGATGCGACGGCAGCTAATCGCCAGCGGTGTCAACCCGGGTCTGTTACCTGCCGACATTGACCTCAATATGATGTCCAGTGAAGGTCTGGCCTCCGTTGGCGCAGCCATGTCCGGTCTACAGAACGCCACTGTATCGGCTGCACTGACCCGCGAAGGCTCCAGGACTGCATCACGATCGCCATCTCACGGCGACCGCTCCAGGGACTCTTCACCAGCTCACTCGGAGTCATCGCACAAAGGGGGCGAATGCTTGTCTCCTCTTGTCTCTACTAAATCCATAGACAAAGACATCGAGCGCTTAAGAGAAGTTTGCAGGCCCAGAGAAGAAAAGACACTCTCAACCATTGACTATGCCGAGAAATACCTGTCTCCATCAAGACCACTGTCGGATTCACCTTATTGTAAAGACCATGTGTTATCTGCTCCTCTGACAAGGAATCCTCTGGAAATTCTACAGGAGAAAACAGCGGCCTCCTTGTCTTCCCTGCCTCTACCTCTAGTCTTCAGGTCGTCATCCTCTATGGACATTAAACCCCCCAGTTCGAGCTCAAGTCTACTCAACTCTAGCGCCCTGTTCGCCAGCTCGCCGTCACTCAGTGCCCTGCAGAAGGAGACAGACGCACTCAAGCCTTCGCCGATTCTACCTCCACTCAACATCCCCATGACTGCTGAAGACTATAAGGGCTACATCCAGCGAGGCACAAGTAAGTACTTGTGTATGTCTTCAACTTCTTCTCCTTGGTGTCTTTTGTTTCTTGTTTGTATGGTTTATTCAATAAATCACTCTCTTTTAATGTCAGAAAAAGGGTGCTAAAATGTTACTTAGAACCTGTTCTGCTGTATGGCAGCGAATTTTGGAATGTCACTGTACAAATTAAGAAGAATTTGGAAACAACAGAGATGTGGTTTCTATGACGAATGTTACGAATACCTTAAACGGCTAGAGTAAATAACAACGATTGCTTGAAAGAGGCTAATGTAAGTAGATCTCTATATACAAGAATAAGGAAGAGAGAAACACTGCTCTTTGGCCACACAATGAGAAAAAAGACATTGGAGAGCATCGAGACAACTGGAAAGATCATTGGAAAACGGGGCAGACCAAGAGATATGATTCTGGAACGGCTGAAACGATGGCATGAAGGGATATCATCAAGAGATGTTCCAGGCAACTAGGGATCCTGATCTGTGGAGACGCACCAGCGCCTACGCCAGTTGGCAGGGCACATGATGATAATGATGGTTTGTGAGTACTGAAATGTTCTCCATTCGACTACCCTTAATCCCCCCCCCCCCTATTTGGGCAATCTGTCCTCACCCAGCCCTGTCTTTTGCAGTTAAACTCTACTGATGTGGATTTTCTCCTCCCAGCTTTATAAAACACTAGTTGCGGAAGAGACGTGGAAGCAAAAAGCATTGTGTTGTTTTCAACAGAAATCTTGAGAGTCAAGCGTTCAATGATCAATGACAAACTAATGAACGTAACCGATGCCCAGTAGGAGGAACGTGAAACCGAATCAGCTACACACACACACACACGCACACACACAAACACACGCACACACACACAGAGAGAAACACACACACACAGCTGGACTGGTTCTGCAATGTCATAGAAAGAAGACTCAACTAACTTCCTTCTTCTTCTTCTTCTTCTTCTTCTTCTTCTTCTTCTTCTTCTTCTTCTTCTTCTTCTTCTTCTTCTTCTTCTTCTTCTTCTCTTCTACCTTGTACCTCATCGAAGTGTCGGGAGGGGGGGGGGGGGGGGGAGATGTAATGTTCGTTGATGGGCTCTGTCAAGAGCACTATTAAGACTGATGTTCATTTCTGTAAGGCTGTTCTTAATGCCATCACTCCATATTTTCCGAGGTCTTCCACTCGCTCTATACCCGTTGTAACGTTTTAGTGTGGCTCGCTGTGGCGGATAGTACCAGGGCATTCTTGTTAGGTGTCCAAACCACTTCATTTGTTGTTCTTTGATGACCTGTAAGACTGGCTTTATTCCTAGCATTCGTCTGATTTCACTCAACTAACTAACTAAATTAAACACTACTTGTTTCGATATTGCATTAAATGGATTTAGCATAATTATTATTTATGTAATTTTAATACACCCCCTCCCCCTGTTTTTTTTTTAACTTTCTCTCTGTGTCTTTTATGTCTCGTTTTGTACTAGCTCTTCCAGTCCACACTTTTATCTATAACGTATTTCCGGTTCCAAAATTCACTTGTCTCTTGTTATTTAAGCAGTCCCTTAATGACAACTTTGGTGCGTATCTGTGCGCACCTTATTTCACTCTGTATAGCTGTTAGTTTATGTTATCACAACTGATGTGAATGCACATTGGGCATTTCCTTTCGTGCTTAATCCTTCGATGCAGCAGCAACTCCAAGACAACACTGCTGATTGTATCCACAAGGAGCTGGTTATAATGTATCCTACCTTGACGTCGAAGGCGGCACAGATCTTCTTAATCATACTTTACTGCCATGTCACGTAATCGTAAAAGTGTCAGAAATGCATGGTTATCCACTAACCTTGTCCGTACAACATTGAGGACATCTTCTGTATTCAGGTTTCTTCCCTTTGAACTTTGTAATGACTGTTTTGTTTATGTTTAGTTATTTCTTCACATCAAACAACCAATATATATATATAATCATCACCATTATCATCATTGTTGTATTTTTTTTATCACAAAGTGCTGTCAGTCTGTTCCTTCATTCCTTTGTTCGCTGAGGAAGCCGTCATGGTGGTATAGGTGTTAGACGCTCGCCTGCGAAGCAGAAGGTGGTCGGTTACAACCTGAGCGGCGGCTGTTTTTTTTTTTAAAATGACTTTGGCTCCAAGGTAGACCAAGCCTTAAATGGGTACCAGGTAAAATCCTAAGAAGTAAAGCCGGCTGTCGTGATGTTGACGACACTAACCACTGAGTGCCGATTGGTTTGTAAAATATAGGTCTAGCCCTATATGCCCACATCTGAAGGCATGGAAAAGGGTCCTTTATTTTCTATTCTGAGCAGTCTTCTCTAAATTATAGCACATGAAAACCCGTGCAAGATTTGACTGTCTTCTTCACCCAAGAGGAGAAGACGATCAGACGCATCACAATGGCACCAACAAAGAATAACACAGCGCAGGGCTGCCAATCAGATTTTTTTAAACCCATCTAAGCGGAACAAAAACCCAAGCAATACATAAGTACACACACGAAAAAAAAAAAAAATCCTCATTGTTGAAAAGCACAAATTGTATAGTTACGAAACGGAACATTTACCCACTTTTGTATAAGGATATATATATATATATATATATATTTTTAAAACCCAGATTTTAGAATTTGAAAATAAAAACCCAGATCTGGGGGTAAAATCCCAACATTGGCAGCCCTGAAGCATCACCAAAAAATAAAAGAGCAGCAACGAAGGGACAAACATCAAAGAACGAAAGACAATGTAGGTGTTAAGTATTTCCCTCTCTAGGGAAAAACCCTGCAAGCTGCGCCCCAGTTTCATGAACAAATGCCTCTTTTTGTTGTTGTTGTTGAGTGGCGAGTGTCACCGTTGCCGGCTGGTGACTCCTGATCGAAATGAAACGATGTTGCCCCAGTCTGAAGTGAAGGGGATCATTTCTCAGCTCCAATGTCACATAGATCCCGCTGCCTATTTGCATAAGAAAATAGACTAGTGCCACACGCTCGTTAACCCCGGTGATTACAATAGTCCTGCCTGTCCGTGCAAAACCGTCGTATATCACGTGTGTTGTGTATGAGTCAGTGGGTTCGCTGGTGGGCCTCGCTGGTTTACGGAGTCTGTCAAAACCTTTATTCAGATTGACTTTGTGTGTGTGTTTTTGGGTGGGGGGAGGGGGGGGCGCTTGTATGTCTGTGTGTATGTGTCCAACTAGCCCAACAAAGTTAGAGAATGAGAACACATTGACAATATATTTGGTTTTTTTAATTTTTGCCTTTTTAGCAATAATTTGAAAATTGTACAGTGCATTAAGGATCTCATTTTGAAAACAAAAAGTTGTGGGGATCTGTTCATTGCCAGACCGGGCGGGTAGAGTTAGGGGGGGGGGGGGGGGGGGGGGGGGAATAAATGTAATAACGAACCAATCACTTTTTCCACGGAGAGGAAGAAGTATAGGATAATGATGATGGTGATGATGAAAATAATATTAATAATCATTTCAACAGCAATGACGCCACAATATGTAGCTTAATAGAATAATTTTGTGTAATACACAAGGCGAGCCTCATCCAAGAAGAGAGAGAGAGAAAGAGAGAGAGAGAGAGAGAGAGAGAGAGAGAGAGAGAGAGAGAGAGAGAGAGAGACAGAGACAGAGACAGAGAGAGAGAGAGAGATGTCTGGACAGCAGCTGGTATCAAATAATTACTGATTTAAGATTAGACATCATAGCACACCGGCCAATCCCATAGATGTCTCCCGGAGCAAATGCTTTGAGGTGTGGATGCTAACTGTTCCCGTAACCGACTGATTATACACACGTGGCTCTCTTCCTCTCATCCGTTCCTCATCGCCGAATCCACACTTAATTTCTCGTTCACACATTCTTGCCCATGTTATTTTATCTAAAATCCTGTCTTCTGCCAAAAGTCGTTCATATATGGTCTTCGTCGGCGCTGTGGCTAAGTCAATGCGAACGCTTCGTAATGCCGGGATGCCGGGTTCGATCCCAGCTACGGGCCATGCGCCTTGCGTTGGGTTTGACAGTGAAATCAAGAAAGCCGACCGTCCAAAGAGCAATGGCAAACTACTGGACTTAAATTTGCCTAGACAAACCACACAACAGCCAGGGGCTGTTAAGGTTGGTTCTACAACGTCCTGTAAAGGATACGCAACTAACCCCTATATGGTCTTCAGAATATCTCCCTTTAGTGTTCGTGTAGCTTTCGCTTTTGTAGCTAGAAAATTAACACTTCTAGGTTAGTTAGTTGCGTATCCTTTACAGGACGTTGCAGATTACGTCCAGTAGTTTGCCATTTCTTTCTGGATGGTCGGCTTTTCTTGATACCACTGTCGAAACCAACAACAGTTAAAGAGTTATTTAAAATAATAATACAAAGACTTTAGGAAGAGTGAAATGGGTGCTGCTAGATTGTATTCCATCCACGAAATCGAAAGAATTGCGGAGGATAGGACGGAATTAAGGATTAACAACGAGTCCGTGTGATGTGTGATGATGATAATGATATCCTAAAAGGCAAGGATGGTCAATGTTAACTAACCCAACAACATACATCAACTCAATCGAAGTTTGCAATTAATCTCCTTTTCAAATTTGTGTAATATAGTTTTTACTATATATATATATATATTGTCTTTCTGCCATGATCGTAGCTCCATGTCCACGGCAACCGGTCGCCCCATCATTTGCTTCTTTGCTTTGCTAGCTAAAACCACACACAGAAAGCCTATCAACGTTCTGAACAAAATCAGACCTGACTGTAATTCCAGCAAAGCCCACAGCTTACACGCTTGTTAAATACATAAGACAGTTGCCAAAATGCCAACATGAACAGTCCGCTTCTAGAATTGCAGTTCATTGACAATGGATGCAGCAGTCAGAACCAATCATCGTTTGCACACGTAATAATTTAACCCCAGAAGTGGTGTAGAAGGTCATGCGCGTGACATATGAAAGGTCAGACTTGTAAATTAAAAGTTGCAGTGTCATTGG